AAGGTGTCTGGGCGGCTTACAACAATTAAAATTCAATACAATAAAATATAAAATGATTAAAATACAATTAAAATACGATTAAAATACAATTAAAATTGCCATCATAAAGACCCACAGTTAATGTTATTTCAATTAAAAGCCTTCTGGAACAGGAAGGTTTTGACGTGGTGCCGAAATATCATCAGTGTCGGCGCCAGACGAATTTCATTCGGGAGGGCGTTCCATAGTCTGGGGGCAGCTGCCGAGAAGGCCTTTGTCTACAAGCCATCCCTCTTACCTCCTTGAGGGATGGCTCTTTCAAAAGGCCCCCCTGGCTAGATCTTAATAGCCGGGTAGGCTCATGTGGAAAGAGGCAGTCCTTTTTGGACGGATTCCTCACTCTACAGGCACCTAAAATGGCCGCCCCTATGGAGGCTCTTCGCTGGACGGGGAGTTTTTCAGCCCATTGGAACGCATTAAACGGTTTTCAATGCGTTTCAATGGGCTTTTTTATTTCGCTTTACAACCTTTTCACTATACAGCGATTTCACTGGAACGAATTAACGTCGTTAAGCGAGGCACTACTGTAGTTATTTCATGTTGGCAAAGTTTAGTGTTTTTGCCCCTTCTATTCTGTAAGATTACAGTGCCCAGGTGACTGTGTAGAGTGTGACTCCAGTTGACATTGCCATTACATATATATTCTGTCCATTTTGGGAGACTGAGAAATGAATAATATTTGTGGAAGAATTCAGGTATCCTTCAGGGTGGATTTGATTTAAACCACAACTTAAATCATGATTTAAATTAAAAGCTCAGATCTTTTTGGACGATTTAAATTTAAAAATCAGTTTTTAAATGTAAATTGTGATTTAAATCAATTTGATTTAAAGAAATCATTGATTGTTATCCACCCGGTATAGGCATTAACATTTTGTGAAAGAAGTGCACCTTTTTGCATCCTTTGATCTGGATGGACAGCCAAGATGTAACCTAGCAAGTGGTTTAATTTGGGAACTCAGTAATAGCTTTTCAGCATTTATAATTTCCTTTTGGTAAGAGTAATACAGTTTCCAGAAACCCACAACCCATGTTGTCAGGTGAGGTACCACTTACCTATTTTTTAAACATGAGACTTCAGTAGTATCTGTATAGAATTCCATGCGTGTAGCTCCCACTGTTTCAGCAATCTTTTAAGGTAAGTAAGTGTATTACAATTCCCAGAATCCTCACATGTGATTTCCTTGGACTACCACTCCCAGAATCCTCCAGATAGTGGAGAAAGTTAAAGTATAATGTATCCAGTGTCTGCTGGTGGGAAGCTGTTAGCATCTGTGGAAAATTGTATTTCTAGCTTTAGCTGTTTCTGGTAGAGCAGGGGTCGTCAACCCCCGGTCCGTGGCCCAGTGCCGGTCCGTGGGCTTGCCGGAACTGGGCTGCAGATTTGAGTCTCCACCCCCCTGCACGCACGTGCGGTGGGCGTGTCACACTCATGCCTCCCCGCACATGGAGCTCGCTCCCCTCAACCGATCCTCACCCCGAAAAAGGTTGGGGACTGCTGTGGTAGAGGACTGCATACAGTTCCTAGAATTCTACAGGCACCATGGCCAGTCAGGATATAATGTGTCTGGTTGTTAAGTTGAACTTTCAATGGTATTCATGCAATATTTTATATTTAGAACTCTCAACTGTTTCAGAGAACCTTTCAGGATTTAAAAAGCTCATAAACTTTCTTCTATACATACAATGTAACAAAGCGTTTTATGTTTGTGTGGGTCTCTAGTACAAATAGATTTATTGTACCGACAGCTTTTTAATAGTACAGTGGTACCTCGCAAGACGATTACCCGTCAAAACGATGAATCCGCATGACGACGAGGTTTGGGGACTGCCATTTTGCTTTGCAAAACAGTGATTCCTATGGGGGAATTTTGCTGGATGATGATTTGGTCTGTGCTTCGTGGACCGTTTTTTCGCAAGATGACAGTCTTTACAGCTGATCGTCGGCTTCACAAAATGGCTTCCCTAGGGGTGGTCTTCACTGGATGGGTGTTTTTTTATGGTCTGTTTTTCTCAAGACAGCGATTTAAAACAGCTGATCGGCACTTCGCAGAGCGGCTTCCCTATGGGCGATCTTCGCTGGACGATGACGATTTTTCCCTGTTGGAATGCTTTAAACAGGTTTCAGTGCATTCTGATGGGGAAATGCTTTTCACTAGATGATGATTTCGCTAAACAGCGATTTTCACGGAACAAATTATCGTCATGTGGGGCACCACTGTACTTGTAAAAATGGCATGTCTCAAGAAATCCCACAGAAGGAGCATTTTCTGATACCTAGGAAGGAATTTTCCTGAGACAGAGTCTGCTGTGAGAAATGCTTGTTTCAAGAGCTGTGTATGGATTCAGCCACCAAACTTTTGGCCAGAATCCTCTTGCACCCATACACCGAGGTAACTCCAACAGGGCAAATTTCAGTGGAAAATTGAGAAGGCTAGTTTTATTTATTTATTTATTATTTATTTTATTTATATCCCGCCTATCTGGTCTTGCGACCACTCTAGGCGGCTGGCAGGGCTTGTTTTTCTTGTGCTGTGTGACCTAAAAATCAAGCACCAGCCTCTTTACTACTGATAATTTCCCAGTAAAATTAATGCTATTCCAGTTGTGCCAGTGAATATGAGTTACAGTATTTTGACTACTATATTCTCAGCCCGTGCTATGTAGGTTTTCTTGCAGTTTTTTTAAACCCAGGATTCTAATGTTTCGGGCACATTTTTTAAAAAAATGTCATTTAGATGTTTTTGTAGCCAAGTATTAATGATGATTGATCACCCTACCATAAAATAAATTTCCAAACAGTCATAATCTGTGTTTGTTAGATAATGATTGAGTTGCAGGCTGCTGGTTGGCAGCAAGTTGAGCCAGAGAAATGTAGATGTACAGACCTCTGCATGCCATGATGGTCAAGTACTGACAAGTAGACCTTATTAGTTTAGTTAGGAATAGTTATCACCTCTTTGATTCATATATTTTTTGGGTGTAAAACAGAAAGCTTCTCAACATTTTCTGGTAAGCCAGTTTCAGGCAGCTCTTGAGATGATGGTGAACGATGATAAAAGGGGGAATTTAAAACTCTGAGCTCCAAAGTGGAATAATATCTTGGCTTCAATGTGAACTATCATGGACAAGTCCACTTTCTCAGCTCAAATTAAAATATAGCATTTAGTCTTTAAGGTGCCACAATATTTTTGTCATCTTTATTTTGTATTTTTTTTGGTGGCCATCTGTCTTGAACGTATTCTGTTGCATCCAGTAAACTCTGTTCTGTTTCTTTTAAAAGAAAGTAGAAAAGCCTGGTTTAGTAGGCTTGGCTATGAGCTGGGGTAAAGAGCACTGTGTCTCTGTCCTTTCCCTATTGCTAAGGTTATTTAAGATGTACAGTAGAGAGCTTTTTGAAAGAAGAGAGCCCCCAAAATGCAATGGAAAACTGGGCTGATAATGTGTTTTGTGTACTCCAAGCACACCAAAATGTGGCAGCTGGCTGATAGGTTGAAGAGCAGTTCCTTATCTCTCATTTGTTTTTCTTGCTGGCTTGATAGCGCAGTGATTTGAGTATCTGGCTATGGAGCCAGAGATTAGGAGTTCGATTCCACCCCTGTATCTCCTGCGAGTAGACCCAGCCTGTGTGACTTGGGGCAAGCCACACAATCCTAGGATGTCTACAGAAGAACGGGATGGCAAACTACTTCTGAGTGTTCTCTACCTGGACGACTCTGAAAAGGGGTCCCAGTAAGTCAGAATATTCAGATGTGGCACATTATGATGATTTTGTTTCAAAACAGAGAATATACATATGTGGTCCTGTGGTTGCATTTGAACAGCAGAAATGTTTACATGCCAGTGATTAACATGTTAGTACAGATGCATGCTTCAAAGCAGTGCTGGTCTTTAGTGGGATAAGATGGAAGGCAGAAGCTTCCACGTGGAGTATTCAGAGTGTCCCAGTTGCTTGCAAGCAGATACAGTGGGGTCTCTACTTAAGAACTTAATCCGTATTGGAAGGTGGTTCTCAAGTTGAAAAGTTCTTATGTTGAATCTGCATTTCCCATAGGAATGCATTGAAAACCATTTAATCCGTATCTGCTCTTTTCCGTCCATAGAAACTACAGTGGAACCTCTACTTAAGAACTTAATCCGTTTTGGAATGGTGTTCTTAAGTTGAAACGTTCTTAAGTTGAAGCAAAATTTCCCATAGGAATGGACTGAAAACCAATTAATCCGTTCTGGCTGTTTTTTTGTTATGTAGAGGTGCGTTCGTACATTGAAGCATTAGTTCCCATAGGAACTAATGCAAAGCTGGTTAATACGTACTCTACCACTAGGGGGAGAATTTTTTTTTAACCTAAGATGACCTAAGGTTAAAAAAAGAGCAGGAAAGTTTTTTTTCCTGTTCTTATCTTGGATTTCTGTTCTCAAGTAGAAGCAAAATTTAGCAAATGGAGCTGTTCTTAAGTTGGATTGTTCTTAAGTAGAGACGTTCTTAAGTAGAGACCCCACTGTATGGAGAAGATAGCTGGTCTTCAAATAGCCAGTGAAGATGTGGAGAGGATTAATTCCCAGTTAAACCTGTAAATGGCTGATGGTTGCTGTTGTGGTGGTCAGAAATGTTTCTTCTTCATTTCATCTCATGGTTATAATTCTTGCTACATACATGGGGATATTCGTATAGGTGATGGGAAATGAGTCCACCTCATCATTGGAAGAATAAATGTGGTTCCATGTCTTGATATGGTTGCGTCTCAGGGCGTTAATGCTATTTAAGAGAATCTTGTCAGGATGGGAAGTGTGAAAGGAATAACTTGTGTTTGGTTGAGAAGCACTTTGGCTTGTGAGGATTACTTTCTGCTAAAGTGCAGTGTACTTGGGTGGAAACATACAGAAGCAAAGCAGTTTTCCTGCATCTGTTGGAATGGGGCATTGGAAGCTAACGAAGTGCTGTGAATTTGTGTCTCTTTTAGGAATATTTTAGTAGATAAGCCTAATGATCAATCTTCACGGTGGTCTTCCGAAAGCAATTACCCTCCACAGGTAAGTGTTCTTGATTTTTGCTTTTATATTTTGAAACGAAATCTGCATCGCTACCACCACGCAAGGGTGCACGCGCAGACCCACCCACACCCCTCTTGAAATTGAACTGCATTATTTGGGATAGATTTGTTGTATCGAAGACCATTCTGGACGAGTTGCTTTTCAGTGGTTTGGGTTAGATGGGTGTTTGTATTTGAATTACGAATGTCATCCGATTAGAACTGTGTTGGTTCTTCAAGTGCATTGGAGTTTGGGTTCTTCGTCCTGAGAATCGGCCGCAGAAGAGCCTGACTAGGAAGCTGTGCCTGGAATGTTCCTCTAGGCATACAAGACTACTAAAGGATTCCACATCTCACTGCCTGTTAATGGGAATGGGCAAATTGCTGATTATCACTTGAAGCAAGTATTACCTTTATTAGGTCAGCTAAAAATAATTAGAAAAAGAGGCAGTGCAAAATGGCAAAAAATAAAAATACAAAGTAGACTTGATCTTGAAGTCTGCCCCCGTCCCACCTCACATATGGTTACCTAGGCCTGTTACAAACTTAATAATGGTCTTCTCTTAATAATTGATAAATAATGAACAGACAAAGCATCTTATGCTATTCCTGCTTCCAGACCCATCTTTACAGGCAACTTACCTACTAAGCAATGTAGTATATTTGCTGAACTCCTTCAGTTGTTGATATATCAAATATTCTTCCTGTTTACTAGCTTTTGTTGATGGCAAGGGACAAAGCAAATAGAGACGGTCTGATGGGAAGAACCATTGCTGCACGCAAACCACTGACAATGTACTTGGGACTTTTTGGGGCGATTAAAGTGGGCTGAGCTTCATCTCTTACATTGTCACCTACAGAGAGCCAGTGCACATCTGAGGCAGTACTTAAGACTAATGTGCTGTGTGCCTGGGATATTGGCAATTGTAGCTTGCTTATTTTTAGCATTAATTTTGGGGCAAACTTACATCTTAGAAATTAATTTTTTTCTAAGCTGAGAATTTAGCTAAAAATAACCAGTTAAGCGGTTATGTTCTGTGCTTCCTCCATGAGTTTACCAGATGGTCTTGAGTAATTCTTGGCAGGAATTACTCTTTCTGATATTGAGTAATGTGATAATGATATGCTAATATTGCCTTGAGGGTACAGCACAATTTTGTATTTTATTGCACCCTGGTGCATTTGCTGTAGTTGGTGCCCTTCAGGTACATGATACATTAAGCTTATTGACCAGGGAAATTTGTTTTCAGAATATGTGAGTACATAATTTTTAGTTTGGTTCTTGGCAACACAAGTGGCTGATCAGGGATAACACTGTCAAAAGACAGTCTTCGGCACATATGTTTTGTCTTCTTTTATGCTAATCAACATAGTATATATGCTTAATATGTCTGAAATTCCCAGGTAGGTACTCTGTTTGTAAATCAGATACCACATTATGATTAGCTCATTTCATGCAGTGAAATTAATGATTCCATTGGTGTTGATTTTTATAATGGCAGGAACATTTTCCCACATAAATGATATTTAATGTGTGATTGAATAGGCAGCACATTTTGCTTATGCGGACAAACTTGTATACGGCCTTGTGTCTGTTTGTGGTAGATTCTATTTATTATTCATGTATATACCCTGTTTTTCATTGATGTTCAAAGGGAGTTTACACCTCAGGTTTTTAAGATTTTTTTTTATGTTTATATTCAGATGTGGTTCTTAAAAGTCCTCTGATGGTTCAAAAGCCTGTGGAAATCCATGGGGAAAAATGTATTAGCAACATTTCACAAATTAGCATAACGGATTTACTGCTGTATTCCACAGCTGGAGAATTTCTAGTGCAAAAGGATCTGCACAAAACGTATAGCTAAAAATGTAGTGAGTGAAATCTGTTTGGAAATGTTTGAATTGTAACATTTAGCAAAAGGTGAAACTTGACTGAGTCTAGCTCCTTGTCATCTGTAACTTCTTCCCATTCAGGCCCATGTTTGCTGCTATGTCATGTGGAAGGACTTTCCGCTGAGGTTCTTTTTTCAGGGTGGTTGGAAACAGTGTGAGCATTTAACAATGATGCAAGTTAAACCTTGCCCCCTTGTCAGCTGGCTACTCAGTTTATCCAGCTAGGAAAAACGAAAGGCTGTGTCAACCTTGAGTTGGCTACTTGAGCCAGTCAGGATTTAACCTGGATCATGAACTGACTCTTAACTGCAGTAGTGCAGTTTAACCACTGTGCCATGAGGCTCCTGTTGAACATGTTTTACTTACACACTACTTTGTTTTGATGTTCTTCTTATTACTGTATTCATTGGCATTGTTGTGCGACAGCAAACTTAAAGTAAGAACAAAGACCCACATTTATTTTCCCCCCTCCCTAGTATCTGATCTTGAAACTTGAAAGACCTGCCATAGTCCAGAGTATCACATTTGGAAAATATGAGAAGACTCATGTCTGTAATTTAAAGAAGTTTAAAGTTTTTGGCAGAATGAATGAAGAAAACATGACAGATCTATTGTCTAGGTAAGAGAGATGTTTCTTTTCCTTTGCAGTAAATATACTCTTTATCGAAGTGTGCCTTAGTAAAGAAGACTGCCTTTTTGGTCACCTGTTCTACCTGTTTTTTTTGCTTCCATTTTGAAATCACAACTCGTAATAAGGCTACCACTGTGGATGGTTGACTGGTTATTCTTTGATCAAAAGATGTTCTTTGAATTAGAAACATGAAACTTTACATGGACATGCAATGATAATGATTAAATCTTTCTTGATATGGATCTCCCTTTACATCTCTTCTTGTTTTGTAATAAACAAATTTTAATTGCTGTACTTCTCACTTACAAGTACTGTATTCTTTGCACCAAAAGCTTCCAGTGATGGTTGAAAGCACCTGAAAAATTGGACAACAAATTTTAAATGAGTTTATGTGTGTGAAACATAGAGTATGAGCATGTTCACAATATAAAATGAAATCTTGTTTTATCTTTTAAAAGAACCACATACACAAATGAGACATTAGGAAATGTTGTTAAACAGTATATTTCTGAGGAATCATTTTCCATACATCTCAGAATTAATATTAACCCTATATATTAATAACACAGCAAGCTTGGTGACTTAGTAATGCAGTGTGCAAATTCACTAAAGTGCACAGGACTCCATTTTATGTCTGGGACATAAATATTGCAAATTCACTAAAGTGCACAGGACTCCAGTTTATGTCTGGGACATAGATATTATGGTTATAGTTGAAAGTAAGTGGATTTCTAGCTATTCCGTTTACAGCTCACGTTAGCTATGTGAACAATCTAATGTTATAACTATTATTCAGGTTAAATAATTCTTGAGAACAGTTCCCTTGTAGTGATGAAGAAGAACAGGATCAGGGGTGTTAGTACTTGCATAGACCTCTGCATACTTTTTTTTCCATTTACAGTGTATTTATGGGATGTTAGTCCAGTGAAGCACCGGGTCAAATGTAATGCTCTGACGTCTTCTAAAGCCCATTCTCTTATGGGGTTTTTCATTGGAGTGATCACAGTTTTGTTTGATGCTCATATCCAAAAGCTCATTCATTGAAGTACCATTGGCTAGTGCTGGCACAGCCCCACTTGCTTACAGTTATTTTGAGTCCAACATAAGAAGAGCCCTGCTGGATCAGGCCAAGGGCCCATCTAGTCCAGCTTCTGCCCCACCAGATGCCTCTGGGAGCATGCAAGACTATTAGATCCCTGTCTCCTGATAACACTCGGCTGCATCTGGCATTTTGAAGTCCCTTCCTTTTGAGCCTGGAGAGTATACATCCCCATCGTGGCTTGTAACCTGTGATAGACTTTTCTCCAGGAATCTGTCCAATCACTTTTTAAAGGCAATCTATGGCATGCCAGCATGGAGGGGAAACATGCCTAGGTATATTTTCCATATTTTAAGATCTATCCAATCACAAAGGTTATGTGGAAATTATCTGGTGTGTTGGCAAAGACTAGGCTAGAAGTGATAAATTCCAGGGGTCATAGGATTGGAGGTGTGGGTGGTCATGCAGATTTAAAAAAAAAGCAGGGTTGTGTGACTCTGCAACTGCCCCCTCCCTTCAGCCAACCCTGAGTAAGATTTATATAGATTGTGATTATCTACTCCACAATTGATGCTGACTTATACCAGTTTTCTACTTCTTGGAATAGGGTCAGTTTTGCTTTCTTTCCGGACAAAGCCAGATTTGTGTTATGTTGTGATAAAAGCGAAGAATTATAGATACACTACCTCAGTTGCCTCTTTAAGATCTTGGAAATAATGCTGATACCAATTTTTTTTTTGCTTGACCCAATAATATATATTCCAGCCACTTCTTGAGCAACCGTGTGGCTCTGCAGTGTCGCTGTAGGTGCTTCAGATACTTTGCTTCTGCTACAAAGGTGGAAGACCTTGTCTCTCATCAGTTAACCCACTGAATTACAGAACAAAGCTTTCAAAGAGGGTAGAGAAACTCAGTGCCTCTGGCCTACATGTTGCTTGTAGCCCCATTTAGGAATTCATTCTGAAAGAGAGTAGAACTCAAAAAGGTGGGGAGAAAGGATTGTATTCATAAGCCCCATCGCCACATGTCCACCAGATCTTGGCATGTTTGGAATAAAGGTCTGCCCAGGCGCTATGAACATGCCTACAGAGTTTCCATAGTGAGTAGCCCTTCCTTATTGGGGTTGGCTGTCATGAAGACACCCTTCTGCATGGAGTTGAATGCACTTACAGTACCTGTGGAGACTTTTGTGCTAGAAATAATGCAAAGGTTTGCAGGACTTTTAGGCAAAGCAGGGATATGGAGTGAGGCTTAGATGAATGTCCCTTTCCTTTATGGTGCACACATGAATAGACACCTCCTTGTTTTTGATTAATTGTTAAGTCGTGACCCCAAGGACCAGAGCACGCCAGGCCCTCCTGTCTTCCACGGCCTCCCGGAGTTGGGTCAAATTCATGTTGGTAGCTTCGATGACACCGTCCAGCCATCTCGTCCTCTGTCATCCCCTTCTCCTCTTGCTTACCTTACCACTCCCTTTTTGTGCACCGCAGTCAAAACAGATATTTCACATTGAGACAGATAAACGGATTTCCAGTATGTTTTGAAGAATGTCACATTCAGACTTACTAATTTGCAGTTGGGGACATCATGGCTAGGAAAGAAACATGGCACAACTGAGGGGGAACAAATTATACATTCGGATTCTTATTTCCTCTTCATAGATGTGCTGTGGTGGTGGGTGTAATGCTTAATATCAGTCAGTCCGAGCGTGTTTTCTTATGAGTGAAAGTGATTTGAGCAGTATCTGTCCATCAGCTCAAAAATCCTTGGTGAAATTTAATATCCTTTTATTTTTCCCTTCACAGTGGCTTAAAGAATGACTATAATAAAGAAACATTCACCTTGAAGCATAAAATTGATGAGCAGATGTTTCCATGCCGGTTCGTTAAGATAGGTAACTGTTCGTTTATTCCCTATTATTTATGCTATCCTTTGAGTTCAACCTCATGGCGAGCCCCTTTTATTTCTTTGCCTCGCCAGGCTTTAAGGAACAAATAAAATTGTTCTTGTTATTTCAGAGCTTTATCCCTGTAACACATTCTTCCTTAAAACTTTGGAAGATTTTGCAGCTTGTGCAGAATGTGATAATCTTATCTTTTTTGGGGAATAAGCCTACGTTGGTGTTCCATTGCTTGTACTGGCTGGCTGTGTTGGACTCACAGGGCCTCAGCCTGCAGTGTGCGTTGGCTTTTTCTCCTCTTGTCCAGCTCCTCCTTTCTCCAGTGGCAAGCAAGGTTACCCCTCTAAAACACGTTGGCAAGGTGTGAAAATGATGGCTCTCTTTGGATCCCTGGTGCAGTGTTTAAATATTGAGTTTACTGTTTTTTGAGACACAATTGAAAAACATATGTGCACTTGAGGTCATGTAAGGCTATAAACTTATGTATGGCTGTGCCACTTCAGAATATGATGTGAAGTGTCATGTGAACTGAACAATGAGCCACTGCTACCGCCTCTCACCCATGAGGCATAGTAGAACTTTACTTCCTGACGGTGTTTTGGGTTTTGTGTGGTTGCTTATGGAACAGCATTTAACCATGTGACCATGTGTCCCCTCTCACTTTTTGCTGTTCATTGTTATGGGCCTGACACAAATTTATTTCCTCTGCCTGTGCATGAATATTCATGTCTGTTCATTTATTTATTAAATTCAGATCCTGCCTTTCAACTTTAAAAAAAAGTCCCAGAGACTGTTAAATGAAATGCGAATAAAACAACAAAGGTATAATTGAAACATTAAAGCTCAACTGAAAACTTGTTAAGTCAAAAGAGAATAATAATAAATAGCACCCAGCAAATTAAAAAAAAATGCTGAAAACCCACACTTCACAAATAACTAGCTTTGCTGCAGGAAAAGAAAACACTTTGAAATTGATATTGGTCTTTGAATTTTATTGATACTGTGCTCAGCAGCGTTTTTTTTTGTGTTGAAGGAAATGGCTTCCTGTTAATAAAACAAGAACCTTTCCATTTTCTTTTCATTGTGATCTTTGGGTGATCTCCTTGTTGGCTACCATGGACAGGCATTTTTTTTCCTAACCTAAGCTCACGTCCCCATTATTTCTGCTTTGTGCTGAATGAACTTGCATGACAGATGAGCAAAAATATTATCTTGGTTTTTTTGGGGGGGTTGCCATTAATTCCTTGGGTGTTTAATCCACTGAAATTCTTCCAGTTTAGTCTTAAAGTTTTTCTGTTCCCCTCTTAATTTTTTAAAAATATTCCTTTGAAAAAGAATGTGACAGACTAAGTAGACGTTAATAGCAGAAATAAGAGAAAGAGTAGCTTGGGGGAACAGCTTCTGTCAGGTGAGATGCTTGACACAATATTGTCTAGTGATGCTGTGCCATAGAAGCCACAGCCTACCTTTCAGTCAGTTGTCATAGCTAAGAAAAGTCATAACACTCAGAGGCAGCGCACCTTAAATGTCAAATGCTGGTGGCAGTTTTGGTCTCTGTGTGTTAAAATGGTAATGGCTGCAGGTTGCATGTTCTGTTTGTAGATTTCCCAGAAACACTGCTCACAGGAAGTTGCTTTATATTAAGTGACACCATTGGTCTGTGTAGTCAAGGATTGTCAACTCTGCATGTAAGTGGTCTCCAGGTTTCTTTACTGCCTCTCCTTAGAGATCCCTGGTGGCGGTCCTTTCAAGATGAAGCTGTTTGGTTCTGTTTAGATTCCAAAACCAGATGAGATAAAGTACATTCATGGTGATAATGTATTCGCGAAGGCTTTCACGGCCAGGATCTAATGGTTGTTGTGGGTTTTTCGGGCTCTTTGGCCGTGTAAATCAAAAACAAAAACACACTGATCACCATAATCACCCATCTCCTGAAAAGGCCAAAAGCTGATCTCACAGCCATAAATACTCAACTCCCAAACAAACTGCACCAGAGCACAGAATCCTGTCCTCTGAAGATGCCGGCCACAGAGACTGACGAAACGTTAGGAAGGACAACCTTCAGAACACGGCCAAAGAGTCTGAAAAGCCCACAACAACCATGGTGATAATGTTTGCTAAAAAAAAAAAATCTATCTAGCTGCTGTTGGAATTCAAATATTGGATTTTGATCTCAGGAGTGTTATGAATCTATAATTTGTCTGGATGGAGAGTTAGCATAGATTTCCAGAAAGGGGGCAAAGTTAGCATAGATTTAAAGTGGTCTTAGTGAAGGAAGTTCCAGAATTCTGGTGGATGTGACTATTTCTGTGGGTTCTGTGGATTGATAAGTGTGGAGAGATGTCAACGAAGCCTGCGTTGTAAATCTACTGTGTTTCTCTGAAAATAAGACAAGGTCTTATATAATTTTTGCTCCAAAAATGCAGTAGGGCTCATTTTCAGGGGATGTTTTATTTTTTCCCCATGAACAACAATCAACATTTATTCAAATACAGTCATGTTATCTTCTGGTTGCTGCACAATGCTGCACAATGGCGGAGGACGGGGTTTCACTTCACTGGGGCTTATTTTTGGGGTAGGGCTTATATGATGAGCATCCTGCAAAATCCTAATAGGGTTTATTTTCAGGTTAGGTTTTATTTTTGGGGAAACAGGGTATGAGATACACAACCTGGCCTGTATGCTCTCTATATGTAGCTTGTGAGCTGCGCTGAGAACCCAGCTCTTAAACCGCCATTCCTTCTGGTTTTTTTTTGGCTTCTATGCTTTTAGGCAAGCATATTTAGATTAAAGAAGTTTCTGTATTTGCAGTTGCACATCACTAACCACCATAACTGGGAACTTTGCCAAGATATGTTGGGTCAATGGCCCTCTGCTTAGGTGCAAGAGAAGTGCTTTAATTCAAAATGATCAAACGAGTTGTGTCAGAATGTAATTGCTTCCTTCACAGATTATGGCCTGGCGCTACGCCTCCAGTGTGTCTAGTGGTCTTCACTGGGATCTTCTTTATGTTGAAATTACACTATTAGAAGATGTAAATTGAACTTCCCAGGGCACTGAAATTCTATAAGTAAAAAATTATTCTAAGTATTATTGGCATCAGGTGTTTGCATCTCAAGCGGTCATGTTCGTCTGTTGCTAAGGAATGCTTTGTCAGGTACTTTTGACAAACGTTAATGGGAGGAATCTTAATGGTCTAGCAGAGCTGGCTTTTCAAGGGCAATCAGAAATCTGTGTCATGAGATTGAAGGAGAATGGGACTTGTGGTCTGAGATTACTCAGGAAAATGGGATTTGTAGTCAATGAAAAAGAGAAAATGTAGTCTGTTAGGTTATAAAAGTGAAAGGAAGACATGAGAATGTGAGAAAGGCAGAGAGGTTTTTTTTTTCTTAATTTACAGCCAGCCTGGTACAGGGTGAAACTGATAAGGGTGCAAGGACGGAGAGGCCCAGAGCGCACAGAGCCAACAAATTTCTTCCTAATTGAAATGGAGATAAAACAGCTGCATCTTCATGAGAATTATGGGTGGAACTGACAGTTTACGCTTCTTTGAGTTCATTGGTTTATGGTCAAGAAGAAGGAGGTCCGAGTAACGTAGAAAATGGACGATGGGTTATGTGGGTTAAGTTCTATTCCATGATGATGGAGAGAGAGACAACTTGATGGTTTGAGCACGTGGCTTTGAAGGAGAAAGAATGTTAAGTAAAGAGAAAGAAGGAGGTGGGGCTAGCCCACCATTGCCCAGTTTAGTGTTTGTTATTTTTAATGGGAATTAGTTGTTGCATTTAACTGTGTGTTCTTTTGAACATGTTCTTTATGCTATGCTTGAGCAAAAACAGTTTCTGTGAAACTATGTATATTCTTAATAAAAAATTAATCATAAAATTTTTCAACAAGGATTGCCTCTTGGACTCAGCAGGGTTTGGCCAAATGGAGGGGAGTGGTAACAGCCATTAATTAGCTACCTTGTGAATTCTAAAGAATTACAAAGCCCATGTGTCTGTACTTGCAAGGTACTGAGTAAACATAAAGTGTTCTTTTAAGGTCAGGCTTATTCTAGGCGCAAAGGAGGTTGAGGAGTTGCCCTAGCATAAAGGTGGTAGATTTGTGGCTGACGGGATTTCCTGACCGAAGGATCCATGCTCCTTAGGGAGATTCGGTCCTGACAGTCTGTCTTTCTTTAACTGCATTTTCTTAAGAACTGAGAGGTTTTTTAAAAAAAAACATTAGTCTCTCTTTTATCTTATGACATCCCTTTGAAGGGAGGGTAGAGCGGGGCTGTGACTGGCCCAAGGTGAAAACATATGTGAAAATCATAGACTTCTATTTGGAAACATATTTTACAGATTACATTACATATATCTTGTGTGCTTGTTTGGGGCATTGGGACTCCTTATCGGGAGAAAGGTAACCTATAAAACAAAGATAAATAAATTTGTGCGTGTGTGTGCATGGATTAGTTTTTGGTGGTTGCTCAAAGCTTAATTTGAGACAGCAGCTTAGCTACAGCACTCTAGGAAGGGGTATATGTATGTGTGTGTATATATATATACAATATATATATATATATTTCTACAATATTTTTGAAATGCTGATTATTTCATAGCTCTAATTGTTGAGAGCTGCCTTGTGTTCCCTATGGGGAGAAAGGTTGCATATATTGTAATATAATGTAAATGATTAATATGTATTTCTAAAGGTAGGTAGTCCGAAGTAGCCGCCACAAAGTGGGAGCATGCCAAAAAGTTTCCAGGTGGAAGATTTCTAACTCAGAAAATAACTCTTACTATTAGGTCTGGGGCTGTGCCATGTTTTTTGCCATATAATCTGTGGCTGAGTACTGTCGTGCTTTTTAAGCTTACAGTATTTGAACATGTTGAGAGAGCCAGGGGAGAAGATGTCCAAACAGAATGGAATGGGTGGGAAAATCACAACTTTCTCTCTTGTGGTGATATAAATGTAGTTCCAGTCTGGCATGTTTAAGGCAAATGTAGTTAGAGATGTACCATATTTTTTCTGTGTATAGATGCCCCACGTATAAGACGCCCCTTCCCCATCTTGACCTTTTTGAGCCCGAGTGCCCAAATCAGTGGGCACCCTCCAGGCCGGCACATCCTCCGGAGGGCAGCTAGGGAATGCGTTTCCCCCCCTTCCCAAATATAGGCAGGGCCTTTCCTCAGGCGTGCTGTGCTCCACCCTGCTCGCTCGCTGTCCTGTGGCGCCAGAGTCACAGTCAATGGGCAGCAGCAATTTCATGCTGAGGGGCGGCCGGGTGCAGCTCCTCCTTCACCCCCTCGCCTGCTCCTGTTGCTGCTGCTGTCGCCACTTGATTGCCACCCCCAGTGCCACTCGCGGGCTCACTTCGGGCTGGGGACAAGGCGGCGGCGTGAGCTCAAGCTGAGCCCTAGCGGTGAGTGGCGCCGTGCCCTGCACCGGGCTGTCATGGGCAGCAACTGCAGCATGGCTCTCGTGCCCACAGAGAGGGCTCTGTGTGCCAGCTGTGACACGCATGCCATAGGTCCGGCATACTTCTGAGTATAAGACGACCCTCAATTTTTACTCTTAACTATGTAAGGAAAAAAAGTAGCATCTTTTACACAGAAATACACAGAAAAATACGGTATTTGACTGTATGGGGTGTGGCTAGAAGATGGGCAGCTAAATGGTGGGAATGTATACATGAAATCTGCACCTCTAATATGGATTTTTGGTTAAGCACAGGCATTTAATTGTTCCTAAATTGGGTTCTGCATATAGTAATCATAGCCTTAGGTGTTGGAGGCTTCTACGGTGGTATTTTTACTCTGGAACTAAGGATGAGTCAGCCATGTTTGATGCATGGTTAAGTGAAAGTAGAGGTGAGATGTTGAAGGCTTCCCTGCAGGCTGATTCTGTCATCTGCTATCCAGCCTGTACGTTCTGGAATGACACCTACAAGTAGACAGATCTGTACAAAGGCATGTCATCTAACCCCTGCCTCCAAGCAGAGACATATTCCCCCACTCCCAACACATGCCGCATCTCCCTTCCTTTTGTTCCTCACTATACAGTCTTCGTTTGTTCCTCAGCTTGGCTTGAAGTACAGTCACTTTGAGGTTCCTTCACTTGGTGGTCTCATGAGTCCTGATACGTCATTCTCAGAGTGAGATGGTACAGTAGCACAAGGCTTGTCAAAACTAAATTGTATTTATGTGAACTAATAACTATGATATTTTCCTGAGTGGCCTGGAACTGTTTTCAGTTCCTCTGGAAGAAATGGTGACAGAAGAGCCAAGATTGACCGTCTGTGATCAGTAGAAGTCATTATTTCAGTACATGATGTGACCCAATTGTCTTTCCTGTCCTTCTCTAGTTCCACTGCTGTCCTGGGGTCCCAGCTTCAACTTTAGCATCTGGTATGTTGAACTCAGCGGCATTGACGATCCAGACGTCGTCCAACCCTGTCTCAATTGGTATAGTAAGGTAGGCCTGTGTGTGAAATGGTGGCAGAATTGTTGCAAGTGTCTAATGGGGAGAAAGAACGGGTCAAGTAGAGTTTTCTTCAATGGATACGTTACGTGGCTGTATTCCAACAATCATATTGTTGGATGCAGTCAAACAATTATATTCCAATAACGATATTCTGAGCATTTGAGAAACAAATAACTAATAGTTGAATAGTTACAAATAATTTGATATGATGCTATAGGTTTAGGGATGGTTTCAGCATAAAATGCATTTGAAAAATGGGTATTGGGCTGGTTTTTATTTGCATTTTTGTGATTATGTTCATAATTTGCCTTAGTTACATAGCCGTTTTGTTTAATAATACACAAGTGTTGAACCAGTTTGAATTTCATCATTCGAGTACCTGATACCCTGAAAAAGGACTCACTGTAGCCTTGAAGAGCTGTTCCCAGTTAGTGCCGATCAATGGCAGTGAGCCAGCAATCTGATGTGGTGTAAAAGCAGCTTCTATTGTTTCTCTGGGTGATTATAGTAGGAGTAATTATGACTCTGATAACAGATCAGTTGTAAGAATAGATCAGTTAAATGGAATTTAAGAAATACAGAAGAGAGAAGTTGCTCAAAATCTTTTGATTTCTCTGAAGACAAGCCACTGCAGTTACAGAGAGATTGTTTTGTTTTTTTAAAATGTTTCTTGCGGTGCTATGAAGTGGAGATGTTGTTGACTGTTTGACTACAAAGATCAGATTGAAATTCTTGCAGAGCAGTTGTGAAACCAAAAGTACAGTAAATCTTTATACGCTGCCCTGAATTTCTTGGAGGAACAGCAGAAGCTAATCTATATAAAAGGATGCAGTTAACATTGCCTTGAGACTCTGTCGATATCCTTGTACTCATACCCATTCCCTTTAATCCTTCTGTAATCCAAACCCAAGCAAACCACCGTATTTTTCGCTCCATAAGACGCACCTTTCCATAAGACGCACCAATTTTTTAGAAGAAAACAGGAAAATATAATCTGTTTTCTTCGCTCCATAAGACGCACAGACATTCCACCCCTGTTTTGTGGGAAAAAAGTGCGTCTTATGGTGTGAAAAATACGGTATTTACCTGTGTTTGGGACACCCGTGGTGCTGGTCTCACAGATTTTCTTGTGTTCCAGTAGTACCGTGAACAGGAAGCCATTCGCCTTTGCCTGAAGCACTTTCGCCAGCACAATTACACGGAGGCGTTTGAATCGCTCCAGAAGAAGACAAGGATTGCGTTGGAGCACCCCATGCTGACAGACCTTCACGACAAGCTCGTTCTAAAAGGAGACTTCAATGCATGTGAAGAGTTGATAGAAAAAGCTGTGAATGGTAAGAACAACGGGGTAGTGTTTTACTGGCAAGATCCACTCTGGATTGTGATGGTGGGTAGCTGGCAGATGAACATCTCTGCTCTAGGTGGACCCCCAGGGGCCCTGTGCCGTTTTTTATTTTGGTTGCTTGCCAAGGAACTGAAAACTTCATCTCGTCAAGCTGATAGTACAAGACATAATTCTGACTATTGGCAGCGCAGCTTTCCCTTGGAAGGCAGCCAGTGACAAACCGAACATTCATAACGGAAGTCTTCATGTTAACATGCTGTCACTCCCACCAGAAAAGTACAGTATTCCCTCATGTCACTATAAGGCCAGTGTGTGTCATCCTGGAGTCCAGCTGCAAAACACAGTCGCCATGTCAGAAGTAGTTAGGCTTAAAGCTCCGCAGGAAACAGAGAGACTGCTGGAGAGGAAGGAGAAGATACGAGCTACCTTTCTCTGTTTACCTGGTCGGTTTCTTTATTTCTTTTTTCCTTTTGGTTTGTTTATCTGATCTCTCTTTTGCAGCCATCTGTCCCTAGGGGTTAGGAAAGGAATATGAGCACAGGCAATTAACAGATAGAGATAAGTACACAACTAATGGATGGAGGAAGGTGGCCAGAGGCTACTGCTTTCGCTCTGCTTGCCTCTGGGGGACTGTCGGAATTTTTTAACCAGCTCATACTGAACTTCCATGTGGAACTTCCTTTCGATGTGGGACAAGTGGAAGGGAACCAAGCCTTTGAAGTTCGACCACAAGAACAACAGTAGACAGGACTGCTAAGCCCTCGCAGCATCTCCCCTGACACCTAGGTTTATTGCCACAGGGCTGAGAGGATTGTTCTGTTTTTAGAAATGGTTGGTTTTCAGATGAGGGATGTGGTTGTTTTCTCCTAGCGTTGATTATCTGTTGACTCAGGTCTGTGGAGGATTTGGCCCCTTGTTGAAATACTATACTGTAGTGAGCTGTCTTGTGTGCTGCTGGAACTTGAATGCATTTGCTTTTTCACTGTACAGTGGTGCCTCGCTTAACAACGTCAATTCTTTCCAGCGAAATCGCTGTAGAGCGAAAACGTCGTAAAGCGAAATTAAAAATCCCATTGAAATGCATTAAAAACTGTTCAACGCATTTCAATGGGCTGAAAACTCACCGTCCAGCGAAGATCCTCCATAGGGGCGGCCATTTTCGGTGCCTGTAGAGCGAGGAATCCGTCCAAAAACACATTGGGGAGCCATTTTGAGCACCTGGCGGCCATTTTGAAAACCAAAAAATAGCTGTTTTGATCGCCGTAATGCGAAGAATAGGTTCCCGAAGCAGGGAACCGATCTTCGCAAAGCGAAAAAAACCCATTTAAAACATCGTTTTGCGATTGCAAAAACATCGTTGTACGGATTCGTCGTTATACGGGGCAATCGTTAAGCGGGGCACGACTGTACATGCTCTTTGGGCTTTGTGAATACACTGTCTGTACCACTATCCCTTCTCATAGATCAGATGCCTTTCTGCATCTTTATCACCGTGGGGGAAGAATAGTGAAAGTTGTCATGGCAGATCACAGTTAACTGGTGAAATCGTGATCATGTAATGAAACTTAAATTGCTGGCAGCTTGCCATTGTGACATGCAAGCCTCTATGATTCCTCTTCGTTATGTTTAAAAATGCAATAGGATTCTGGCGGCAACATGTTCTCAAGGCAATGTATGCATATGCATTTTGCAGTCCTGAGCGAAGTGTAACCATCCGGATGACGGTGGGCTCCAGCTCCTAGAATTACACAGCATTGACTGTGTTGTCTGGGAGATACGATCCAACAGCAAATTGGACCTCACTTTGACCATTCTGCTGGGTAATCTGTTACAAGGTGACTTGGGTTGTCTGCACATTTGTTTTTCCTTCTGAGCATACCTATGGAGCATACGTTCATGGAATCATATGAACTGGCCCATTGTTGTTTTCACTGGTATATCATAATAACTGGGTATTTGCATCCTATCATTTTTGTATTACTGAACTTGTGTGTTATCATTTTTTAAAGATTTAATTTTAATTTCTTTTTTTAAAAAAAGCATACAGTACTCTGATGTCGTGAATGGAAGTGTAGTAGTCCCTTCTGTAGAGTGTTCCTTCCTATGGAGATTACGTCTTTGCTCATAGATGTATTTGCTCTGAAAGTGTGAGTCACTTTTACCTCTCGCTGTTAAAAATACATTCAGTCATCCTTAATTCACTGGGTCTGTGCTAACGTAACACAGTGTAGGGTTATGGCTTCTGTAGTCCCAGGACTGTATCAGGTGGTGGGACATTTCTCCAAGGGCCTTCTCTCATTTGTGAAAAATGTGGGACTGTCCCTCGTGATGTAAATCTGATGCAAGGACAGCCAGGTTTAGAAGTGGAAAGTGAGGTCCCAACTTAATATATTCAAATTATCTTGGAATGAACTCTAATCAGGGTACTGTTTGTCAGATGTTTGGGATAGAGCCCCCAAATCCTTTTTTCCGCAGATCTCTCCCTCTACTGCCTTGAGTTTAACTGAGAACAAATAATGAAACAGTTGTTTTCCGACTAGCAAAGAAATTGGGCAACTTGGATGTAAACGCCCCGTGGCTGCATGTTCCTTTTCAGACTTCACTGAGGTGCCCATGTGTTAATTTTCATGTGAAATGTTCTGTCAGAAAACTTCCCAAGTGGCCTGGACTTGTGTTTCCCTGACTTAATTGGTCAAATGCAGCATAGAAATGAAGCGCTCAGAAATATTAAAACTGCCGGCTTTGCAAAGTAACTCATTTGGCTTTGCATTTGAGCTTAGAAATGACATAATTTGTTGTAGTATTAGACACGGGATGAGAGGGAGTGGGTTAAAAACAGGAAGCGTGATAGGACTAATCCTGACTATACCCTGGGTTGGTTTCGACTTTGTGTATGTTCTGTTCATGGAAAGCTGACTTCTCCTTACCCCATAATAGTTTGATAATGTTTTTTTAGTATCCGTTATAGTTTGATAATGTTTTTTAAGTATCCGTTGCCCATCAGCCACATATTCCCCTCTCCCACATGCCCCTCCCTCCTCCACTTCTTCTGCAGTTCTCAGAAAATGTGCAAGTGAAAAGTCAGGCAGATGCTGGATATCCTCTTGGAAATTAAAAAAAAAGTTTTCCCGACTCTCGGTTGTTTCATGGCTGTGGCTTAAATACTTTGTTTTTGGATTTGTTCCTGGAGCTTCCAGGCAGCCTGTATTCTTTTTGGCAAGACGGTTGGTTGTCATATAACGGGCTTGCCGAATGCAGCGATGCCTTAATGGTGGTGTTTGAAATGTCTCCAGGATGCAGGTTCATAAGAATTTCCCTTGCCAACCTTTTGAAAACCTGTGCTTGTAAATGAGCACACACCCCACTCCCTAGGGCAACACTCCTGTGTTGATGGCAAGTGGCTAGGGGACAGTGCTGGTTTTATGCATTTCCCTCTCAAAGAGCCCATGAGGATCTAAATGTCCAGACCCCTGGCATTTGCAGGAGAAATTAGTAAACATGTTTGATAGGAAGGAAATATCCTGCCTGAGGGTATTTTCTGCAACAACCAAGTGGGTTTTCATTCCAGAGAAGTGTTCCTTGTGTACAAGATGACTTATTTCTTTAGGGAAGAGAAACTTTTGCATTTAGCATATTTTCTGTGCTCGCTCATTGATTGATTATATTTGTACCCCACCCATCTAGTGCCTGAGCAGTATTCTGGGTGGCTAACAGTGGCTAACTGCTCCACCCCAGTCTACAAAGACATAAATAATGAGATCCAGACCGAAACAGTAATAACCCAAAATATAATATTTATACCTTTCTAAGGGATGAGCTATCTGGGGATGTCAGTGCAAGCCTTCCGTGTGCCTTCCACATATTTATTCCACCATACCTTTCCATCACACTGTTCCCATGCTCCTCATCATTCCCACTTTGAGCTCTGTTATCATTTGATATTTCCAGTGAATCTCAGTGTCTTTTATGTCACTTTTAAGAGCAGTACTCAGAATGGCAGCCTGTAATGTTGTAAATAGGAAAAGTAGCAAGTCTGATCATACTGCCTATGACCTGCTAGTTGCCACTTTTTCCAGCAAGTAGAAGTGCCAAATTGAAGATAGGAATGAGTGACAGCAGTGGGCGTTTTAGGGGGAAATATCCCATTTTACCTACTCTAGCTTACAAGTGCAAGGAGAAGGTTGGGTGCTGTATGGCACTGTGTTACTCAACCAAGTGGAGATTGGGATCAGGGGGAGAGGAGGGTATGGAAGGAGGAAAGAACATGTTGCTGATGGAATAAGGTCATATTGTCTATGGATTCCTGGAAAAGACCCCAATGTTGGGGAAATGTGAAGGCAAGAGGAGAAAGGGACGACAGAGGATAAGATGGTTGGACAGGGTCATCGAAGCTACCAACGTGAATCTGACCCACCTCCGGGAGGCAGTGGAAGACAGGAGGGCCTGGCATGCTCTGGTCCATGGGGTCACAAAGAGTCGGACACGACTTAACAACTAAACAACAATTGTCTATGGAACCAGGAAAGTTGGAGACTAGAATGAAATATGTGAGTGTACACGTGTAGTGATTTTCTACTGAAGCCTGAGGCAAGGGAGTTGGGATAATTTGTGGTGGGTTTTCGTTTTGGTAGTTTAAAGATGTAAGAAGTCAATTCGATGTGAACAAAATGAGAATATAGAATTAATGCTTAAATGAGCTTGGATGTTAAGGATTTTGAACTGCTTACTAAACTTGAAGTGCCCTGCTGAACCGTCGAACTGCAGTTCATGCCCTTCTCTAGTACTCAAGATGCGTTTGCCTACACACGGAGCGCCACACTCCTACCATCTGAAACAGTTCATTGCTTTATAAGAGCAGCTGGGGTTGTAATCACTATGCTACTTCCTCAAACATTCCTCAGGAGGTGGGCATTTTGCTGAGTCTCCTCCTCTCCTGCAGTCCATCTCCTACTGTTATGTACAGTATATGAGTAATAAGGATACGAAGATCAGTACTGAAGAAAGTTCCTGCCTTCAGGTGTTCTGCCTAAAAAGAGGATGGCACAAAAGGAAAGGGGAGGCTGAGGGAGGAGGAAGAAAGCAAAGTCAGGCACAAGTGCTTACAGTATTTATACCGTTCAGCAGGGTTTGAAGCGGAGTCTTTAGCATGGAAAGCCTGTTGTATCCTCTCTGGTGGCCACAGCAATGGCAATGCCAATAGATGGCTGGAGCAGGCCTCTCAGGCGGGACTGCATCGAGGTCCAGAAGAGGGTTTGACTGTACTGTGATGCCAATGTTTTGGTTCTCTTCTCTCTGTGGTTCCCTGTTTCTCAGCCTTCTATACCTGTCTTCCATTCTTTCTATGGTCCCTAATCCTTCTCCGTTCATGGGTCTTGGCAAGGTAGGATAACTTCCCGTTCCTTTCATTACACTGGGGAGTGTATAAGCTTTGAATCATTTTGAACTGTTTTTGTGATCGTGGGTCTTGTTTCACTGAGTCTTCCAAACATCTGTTTCTTCCTCTGCTTTGTGTAGTGGTTTTAAAAGACGGTGCTGAATTACGAAATACTTGATTAGTAGCTGTCAGTGCTGAATTTCCTTGGAATGGAAAAGCAATTGGTCTTTCTAGAGAAAAATTACTCAAGCATTCTTTGTGACAACCTACTCATAAACAAGATGGAATTCCGCCTCTGGAATAACCTACCTCAGGAGATTCATGCGGCTCCCTCACTGGGTGTCTTTAAAAATCAACTAAAAACATGGATGTTTCGGCAGGCCTTCCCCCCAGTTAATTCCTGATGTTTTCCTTCCCTCTCCTTTTCTACTGCTTGTTTTCCGTCCTGTTGGATTTTGTTTATTGTTCACTACGTAATAATTTTATATCTATCTGTGTGTTTTATGAGTACTTTATTTATGTTGTAAGCCGCCTAGAGTGGTCATAACTGACCAGATAGGCGGGATATAAATAAAATAAATTAAAAATTAAAAAATTAAAAAATTAAATTAAATATCTCCCAACCTGACAATCCTGTTCCTGTATTCAAGAAATCAAATAATACAACTTATGTGTTGTTCTAGGCTCACTTGTCTTGACTTTTGTAGCAAAAGATGAGGGGAGCGGTGGTCAAGTTCATAATCTCAGGAAACAAACTATGGAGAGGAGAGCCGTGGTTCTGTTAGCCTTTCCTGCTTAAAACTGGAGCATTTGGGCAGTGTTTATCACCATGCTTTCCTCCGTAGCCCCTCAGTGAGGGTCTGAAAATGCACTTACAGTGGTGCCCCGCATGACAACGACCCCGCTAAATGACAAAACCGCAGGATGATGCCTTTTTGTGATCGCTATAGCGATTTGCAAAACAGGCATTTCAATGGGGGAATTCCGCTTGACGACGATTTGGTCCGTGCTTCGCAGACCGTTTATTCGCAAGACGACAATCTTTACAACTGATCGTTGGCTTCGCAAAATGGCTTCCCGCTGTTTTCCAGACGCATGCTTCGGAAGACAGCGATTAAAAACAGCTGATTGGCACCCACAAAATGGCTGCCCTATGGAGGATCTTCACAGGACGACGAGGTATTTTCCCCATTGGAATGCATTAACCGGTTTTCAGTGCATTCTAATGGGGAAACTGTTTTCGCATGACGACGATTTCGCTGTACAGTGATTTCAGGGGAACGAATCGTCGTCATGCGGGGCACCACTGTACTTGTATGGTTGGCCAGCCTGACCAAAGATGTAAAGTATGCTGTGGAAGAAAGTAGTATTAAGTACTTTTTACAAGATTCAGTCAAACCTCTTCCCTCTCCACTTCTGGCCATTGTCATCTCACTGGTGATTCTGCTTTCAGAATCAGCCTTTACTGGTTTTATAGCACAAGAAGAATGAAAGTAGATTTGTTGCTAAAAGAAGCAAAACCAGACATTTCTGGGAGGAAGCTTGGAAGTACTCCAGGCCAGTCTCCCATTAAACAGTTGCAGGGTTAAAAAGGAGACACAAACACAGCTTGTTGGGTTTGTGGTGAATTGGGTTGATTAGGTACGGCAGCAGTCATTATAAAATGTATTATGTGATGGTCGCAATCTTCTTTTTGAAAAATCCATTGTCATCTTAGGAGTTAGCAATGAGCTCTTCCTAAATATAGGAAGCGCACAAAGATTTTTGGCTCATCGTATTCGAAGTTGAGTTGTGAAAGCATACACATGACCTTCTGAACCTCTGGTGGTTTTGGGTAGGAGTCCCTCTACTGGCCTCTTCTTTTCTATCTCCCACAATAAAATCTGCTCAGAAGGAAGAAAGCTTGTGTTGCCTCCACCTACTTGGTGGCTACAGATTTTGTCTTTGGGCCACACATCTTCTTTTCATGCCTTTATTTCATTCTTTACTACCACCTTCTCAGTTGTTTTTAAGTGCTGCTTTAAGGTGACAGCAGCTGTCCAGTCAACGGCTAGCATAAAAATTATGAATAGCTTTTTCCATAGCTTGGTGGTTTAGGCATCTGTCTGTGGAGCCAAAAGCTGGGAGTTTGATTCCCCACCGTGCCTCATTGACAGGGGCTGCGCTCGGTGAAATCATAGGATCCTTTGTAGGTCTGCGGTTTTATGATGATGATGACATTGATTCATAACAGTTTCTCCAATTTCTCTCTCTCTCTCTCTCTCTCTCTCTCTCTCTCTCACAAACACACACAGACATTGCATTTAACTTGCAATAACCTTTCACTCACACTCACACACACTCACACACACACACACACACACACTCACTCACTCACTCACTCTCTCTCTCTCTGGGCGGTTGTACCTTACTTTCAAAAGGCCAAAGATCTGTAGCTAAAGCAAAAAGCAAAATGTGCTGCTTATATATCGACCCAGAGCGCTTCAAGCATGCTCTGGGCAGTTTACAAGTTAATTATGCAGGCTACACATTGCCCCCCCCCCCGGTGAGCTGGGGATTCATAGCTGACAAAACATTTGTATTAAGTAAGGCTTGGAGGAGGTGAATTGGTGGTTAATGGAATAAGAACAGGTTGTAGGGTGGTACGGAACATTGGTCTCTGGTGGGTCATGAACATCACTTAATTCATCATTCTTTGACTCTTATTCTTTGAGGTATTTCTCTCCTTTGAGTGTCAGGCAAAAACCTGAGACTGTTTTTGCCTGACGTGCTGGCCCAGACTAACACGGTTCTCTCTTTTAAACGTCTCCTTTGAGAGCATTAAGACTCTGATTTGTTTGTGTTTTTAGTTTTAAAGCATGATCTAATTCTTGCTTTAAAAGGACTGAAGTGGTAGAAAATCTGAGTTTCCACAAGTTCTTTCCTCTCCTTTCGTTCCTGGAAAAACAGAAGTTGAAATGTGCTTTTGAAGGGAGCAAGCAAAGATGGTTTGGAGAGATGCTCAAGCTGGTTTTCTTCAAAGCTAATTTTGGGTCTTCATATTTCTTGAATAGAAGTGTTTCTGTACCCTCTTCTGTTTGGGTCAACAACAAATCATGGGCAATTCTTTCTTTCATGATGTGTCCACCTCCACTGGTAGTGTGTTTGTTAACTTTGAAGAAAATGTGGAAAACGTTTTTATGTGTAATGGCTTGTAGACCAAATTGCCAGTTTCTACTAACTCTAACATTCTTCTGTATCCATCTTTTATCTGTCTAGTTGTGTACGGACAGTTGGCTTGCAGCAATGTTAGGTGAATGAGCCATGATTCTTAGAGATGTTCACAAACCGATTTGTACTGCTTCATTCTTTGAGATGTCCACGAACCGATTTGTACTGCTTCATATAACATTCCCGACACTGCCCCACAGGTGTTGCGTCTTCCCTCCCCCCAGCCCTATGGCTGGCTGTCCCATTCACAATCCATTGCGTGCCATTGGGGTACTCCTCTGGTGACGGTCCATTCTGGGCAGGAGCTCCGGCTGCCCATCCCCACTTCTTCAACAGCCAATCACTCAACAGCTGTGCAGGGGAAATCCCTGTCCTGCCTCCTCGCCTCAGTGGTCGGCTGCCAGGGGAGGCGGGGATGGGCAACCTGAGGTGTCTGGACTGGATCGCCACTGGAGAAGGAAAAGCCCGGGAGCGGGCATGATGGATTGTGAGTGGGCCAGATGGCCGGGGTGGGTGGGTGGAGGGAGGGGTATTGCATAGGGAACTTCATACAATACTACATGAATTATGTATCATTTCTGTGCCACAAGGCTTCTAAGGGTTTCCTACTTTCTTGATATAATTTTTGTTCATACACTTGTGCACTAAAGTAGAACGCACTTACGACCAGCCTTTCTATCATACCTTCCTACCAGTAAGCAAGACGGCTTTAACTTAAGAAATGGTCACCTTAATGGAGAATGTATGCCAGAAAACAGACAAGTCCCTTCACCAAGAGAAAGGTGGCATCTTTGTAGGCTCTCCCTGCACTAATTCTCCATGTGGCATAATAATGCAGTAAATAAATACATTTGCATGAAACTGTGTTTTTTTGCTCATTTAGAGGATCATCTTTAGAGCATGAGTGTATTCTCTGCCCAATTTTATTATGGCTCCTTGTTTGAAGCAATTAAATTGATATTTCTGCTAACTGTTTATGTTTTGTGTCTGTGTGTTTTCCTCAAAACAGATGGTTTGTTCAATCAGTACATCAGTCAACAAGAATACAAACCACGTTGGGGTCAGATAATCCCCAAAAGCACCAAAGGTGAGGCAATATGAGAAAGTCAATGTATTAATTTGGCATGATTTGCAATTATAAGCCACTGTCAGTTTCATTCTCTCGAGAAAAGTGGGGTAAAGCCCTTAAGGAGGTAAGAGGGACGGCTTGTAGACAAAGGGCCTTTTCGGCAGCTGCCCCCAGACTATGGAATGCCCTCCCGGCTGAGATTCGTCTGGCGCCGACACCGATGACATTTCGGCGCCAGGTCAAAACCTTCCTGTTCCAGAAGGCTTTTTAACTGAAATAATATTAGCTGTGGGTCCGATGGCAATTTTTATATATATTTCAATTGTATTTTAATTGTTCTAAATTGTATTGTATTTTAAATGTTGTAAGCCGCCCAGAGACCTTTGGGTAGTGTGGGCGGCATATAAATGAATGAATGAATGAATGAATGAATGAATGATGCTAGAACCCTTTTTTTTGTGAAAAGCAGGGTGTGCCTGGGGAAATGAACCAGAGGGCCCCGCTTCTGTTGGCAGGTTGCCATTTTCGTGCCCAGTCAAGCACCTGATTTTGGAAATTGTATTGGACTGGCTATTGAAAGGACAGTCCAGTAGTGAGTGGGCAGGTGGTGGTGGTGGGACTACTGGCATGATTGTGCTTCCTTATGCTTCCACTCTGCATTTTCTCAACAGGATGGTGGTTTAAATCAATAAAGTGAGCTATTTGAGGAGACCTTCAAGACACTTATTGCTGCTGTTGAATGCAAATCTTAAGTTAGTGTAGTTGGGATCTTAGAAAAGTCAGTTATAGGGATATTCGTCAGCTGGTGAGACAGAGGGCCTTGGAAACCATAAATGGCCTGCTCTTTTAGATATGTCTCTGTCCTGGACCCATGCAAAACAGGAGTTTTATTCCTAGTTCTGCCATTGCTTGCTGTTAAATTTTCCAAGTATTCATAGCAGCAGCTTCCCTGTTGATGCCATGTCAGTTCCCTAGAGGGACCCATCCCTCTGTATGTCTGATAGATGGAAATGAACATAAGACCCATTGTCCCATTTATCCTGATATTGTTGAACCTGACAGGTAACAGTTCTCTAGCGTTAGAGGCCCTTCCTAGTCCTGATCCTGAGAACTTCTAAACAGCTGACGCATGAAGTTGGACGTGGGACCATCCCTCATGCAGAGTTAATAAATCTTTCTAAATGGTGCTACCTAGGTAACACTGATATGAAAGAGTTCTTTTCTTTTCTTTTCTTTTGTTGCCTCTGTATTGGAACGGACAGTAATTCTCAGTCGGCCTAAATCTGCCAAGATGTCACCTTTCCAATTCAAATGAATAAGAGCCATGCAAGATCATAGATTCTCAATACCTTTTTTTAAAAAAGCAGTAACCATCGCAGTATATAATATTCCATTCAAACGGAAGGTACCTGACCGTTGGTTTGTTCAGAATTTACAGTTGTAGCAAACCTTTCTTTGCTCAGACTTTGTAATGTTCCTGAATCACATTACATGCGGATGGCTGAATCTTTGCCATTAGTTGCCCCATAGCAGACTTGAAGATATTGGCTTAGTGCTTGGTTTTAAGCTCCTCTTAGGTTTTGTTCTCTGAAAGCAAAACCTATTTTCACAGTGTGCATATCTCATTTGTAACTAACATATGTTGTAACTAATAGCTCAACTCAATGCATTATTCTCCCACTTTTTTTCCTAATGCTCTGAGTAGTACTTCTGATTATCATATGTATGCCACACCGAATAGTGCTATGCATTAATGGGATGGTATAAACATGAAATCATCTTTGATCCTTACAAGCAACCTTACAAGGTAGTTCAGGTCAAGAGAAAGACTTTCCCTAAAGATAGTTCCAAAAAGCTTTTAACCTTTGCATGTGAACAGAAATTTGGACTCAGGCTTCCACAGAACAGTTCAGCATTAATGACCCATGGGATGTAGCTAGATTGCAATCCATTATCCTTTCCAACATTTGGAAAGCCACAAGTTGTCCACTCTCGTCCACCAGGGTCTGCTTCTGCATATTCAATGTTAGAATCGCCAGTCTGTTTTTCTTATTTTAGGAAAACATTATCCTTAATTTATGCTGTTTGCCATCTCCTAAAGGTCTTGGAGGGCCATGTGTAATAATTATGATTTTGTGTTTTTTCTTGAACATCAACCAGGTGATGGCGAAGACAGTAGGCCTGGAATGAGAGGTGGTCATCAAATGGTCATCGATGTTCAGACAGGTAAGCAGCTCTCCTCTGCTTCCTCCTCTTTGTCATCCTCATCATCAATATGTGGCATTTCCTCTTTGGTGTATGGCTATATTGATCAGTCATGTGTATGGACAAGCACTTTTCCAGCTTTAATGGCTGAGGCACTTAGGAAAAGCAGTAACAGAAAAAGGGCCATGTGGCAGGAAGGTACTTGTGGCCTCAGGAGTTTCCCCAAATTCAGCAGTACAGACAGTTTAAATAACAGGAATTGTTATGAGCTAAAGGTCACATAATGGCAAGATTGAGCTCTGGTGGCTAGACGTTTTGAGACTTGTCTTGGTTTCTCAGCCTCTCTGTTGTTTTTGACCTGTGCGGTGTAAAGTGATGGACTACGGCTCAGAGTTCAAATACCTGCTCTGCTGTAGAAACTCAATGGCAAAATCTTTCTTTAAATATCTCAAATACATTGAAAACCGTATTAGGCTTCCTATATGTTGGATGCAACTTGATGGCACAGAATAGCCATCAGCGTGATGGATTGTTCAGGCTACCAGCAAACCCCTTGGCAAAACCAAGGAGGTTTTGTGTGAATAATTGCTATCCTTTCCAAGGTACAGTGGTGGCTCGCATAGCGATCGCTCCGTTCAGTGACGAAAGCGCTTAGCGATGGAGTTTTTGCAATTGCAAAAGCGATCGCTTTGCGATGGTCCCTATGGGGTTTTTTCGCTTTGCCATGATCACTTCCCCACTGATCGGCGGTTTCAAAATGGCCACCGGGAAAACAAAATGGCCGCCTGCTGTTTTTCCTCACTTAAGAGGCAGCAAAAATGGCGGCGCTATGGAGGATTTTTGCTTAAAGGTGAGTTTTAAGCCCATAGGAACGCATTAATCGTGTTTTAATGCGTTTCTATGGTCTTTTTAATTTCACTTAGCAATGTTTTCACTTAGCAACAGTATTTTCTCAAAATGGCCACCGGGAAAACAAAATGGCCGCCTGCTGTTTTTCCTCACTTAAGAGGCAGCAAAAATGGCGGCGCTATGGAGGATTTTTGCTTAAAGGTGAGTTTTAAGCCCATAGGAACGCATTAATCGTGTTTTAATGCGTTTCTATGGTCTTTTTAATTTCACTTAGCAATGTTTTCACTTAGCAACAGTTTTTTCTGGAACGGATTAACGTGGCTAAACGAGGCACCACTGTACAGATATTGAACTACTCAGCAGCGAGGCTGCTTCTGTCTGTTTGCCTAGCAGGCCACTCCTTGTTTTCAGTTTCTCTGCTCACCTCTCTTCCTTTCTTGCCTAACCTGGCAAACCCACTACAACTTTGTGCCTGGTGCTTGTTGCCTTAGAGGCCCTGGCCCAGGACGCCGGATTTCCTGGATTTCTTGGTTCTTTATACTCTGTGATGAACTGTATCTTGGGCTTCCTTCCTGGGACCTGTTTCGCCCCCCTCCCCAATGTTCTATCCTTGAGTACAACCCCACACCATTTTTCACAGATGTTATATTTTGGGCTCAATGTGTCTCTTTATGTTTTAATGTCATGAGTCAGTTGGGGTGCTCCCTGTGGGTTAGAAAAGGCTCCCCATCATCCTCAGAGGTTACAGCCATAGCCAGAGACATGAGGTCATGGGGTGGATATTGGTTAAGGGCTCAGACAAAGTTGAATTGGAATAGCTCATTGAATGGGTTGGGCTTCACAGTTAGGCTCTGATTGTTTGGAGGAAATCTCTCCACAGGCTAACTTGACTAATGGACTGTGTGGCGAGCTTCCCCTTTCCATTACTTCACTCATCATAATATTTTAACACCCAATTTACTTTGATATTTGGGTAAATAGTACTATTGATAATTTCAATTCTGTTCTAAGACTACTACAGTGGTGCATCGCTTGACGACGTTAATTCGTTCCAGCAAAATAGCTGTAGAATGAAAACGACATAAAGCGAAATAAAAAAAGCCCATTGAAATGCATTGAAAACTGTTCAATGAGTTCCAATGGGCTGAAAACTCACCGTCCAGCGAAGATCCTTCATAGGGGCGGCCATTTTCGGTGCCTGTGCAGCGAGGAATCCATCCCTAAGCACAGCGGGGGGCCATTTTGTACACCCAGTGGCCATTTTGAAACCCAACAATCAGCTGTTTTTGATCGTCGTAAAGCGAATGATCAGGGAACCGATCATTGTGCAGCGGAAAAACCCCATTCAAAAACCTCACCGTCAAGCGGATTTGTCGTTAAATGGGGTAATCGGAAAGTGGGGCATGACTGTACCTCATTAGAATCCAGTTTATTCCATCTCCCATTCCTTCAGTGGATTTTTACATTCATTGAAAGCTATGTCCAATTTAAATTAGGATGTCCATTTATTATGATGGGCTTGATGCCCATATTTTGAAAAACTTTGTCTTTGAAGAAAGACAAGTTTTATAAAATCCAGAATAGCACATTGTTTTTGACGTATAACCTGCGTGTTTGTAACTTCTACCACATTTTTTAGGGCAATGTGCTTTTCTACTGAGACTTTTTAACCAAGAAATGCCCTAAAGGAGTGTTTACTAGAACAAGACACGTTTTGTTTTAATACTTGCCATCAGATACCCCGTTTCCCTGAAAATAAGACCTAACCTGAAAATAAGCCCTAGTATGATTTTTCAGGATGTTCATAATATAAGCCCTACCCCAAAAATAAGCCCCAATTAAGTGAACCCCCGTGCTCCACCCTTGTGCAGCAGCCAGAAGAAGATGACATGACTGTATTTGAATAAATGTAGATTGTTGTACATGAAAAAAACAGAACATCCCCTGAAGATAAGCCCTAATGCGTTGTTTGGAGCAAAAATTAATATAAGACCCGGTCTTACTTTTGGGGGAACACAGTAGTTATTGCCTATTTTTTCTTATCCTATTTTTATTTATTATTTTTCTCCCCTGGTTCTGCTTCTTTATCAGATTGTAAGTCTTTGGTTAGGGATGTGGTCTTTAATCCTTTTATATAGCACCTGATTTACGGACAGTTTCTAATTACATTCTTGCAAGCTAACAAGATTGTTCAAGAACTGTTGATACAGCTGGAAAGCCCCCCCTAGTGGACTGAAAATGTTAAAAGAAGTCCTTCGCAACATTTTTTTTTTTTTTTTAAGTTTTCAGACATTAGCAATACAATGGAAAATTTTCTCCAAGGTTGCATGACACAGCAACTTTGTAAGAGGGTTCTTTTCTGGAATTCTACCATTTGTCTCAAGAAATTGGATGTATTGCTTAATTAGAAATAAGTTTTCGGGAGCGGAGGTTCACAAAAAGTGCTCCATGCTTGTTTTCTGAAAACGCCTTAATTTGATAATATCTGAGTGGAACTTTCCGTTTGACTCTGTTTGTTATTTATAGTCCATCTAATTGGATGAGTTTTCTTCACGGCTACAGTCAGAATCTCACCAGCTTGGAACCTTTAAAAAAAGGTGGAATAGTTTTCTGTACGTTTTCCTTTTGAAGGCGTGACCTATAGAATGTTATGTTAGAAAACTGTAAAGCTGCCTTTGGTTCTTTGGAGGAGAAAGGTGAGGTTAAAACACGTTAAATAAATAAGAAATAAATAAAACTGTCAGAATGACAGGGCAGATGAAAATCCCGGCTCAACCAGGGTTATGTAGCTTTTTGCCTACCTTCTTGAAAACATGATTTCCAGACTTTATAACTGTTTTAAAATGGAACAGTAAATACTGCATCCTTATACAGTACCAACTCTGGGCTACGTAACCTTTGAGGCCTTTTTTACATGCCCAGGAGATCTGTCTTTGAAACCCCACTTCAGTAAACCCCGAGTCTTTATTGACTTCCTCTTTGTTTCATTAAATTTGAAAGGACCCAGATGTCTTTTTAGAGTTCCCATGCTTAAAAAAAACAGCAACAAACCACCAAACCCAAACAACATATCTCTATGCTTTATTCTTTTTCATTGCTGTTGTACTTTCTACGACTCTGAAAACCGACGGCTGTTTTCAAGCAAAATCAGTGCTGCTAAGGTTGCCTAGGGCCTCGGAGTCAGAGGCAGCCTCCTACCACAACCAAGTTAAAAATCTAATGGCATTACCTGTCTATTAATAGCAATATGACTTGCGTACAGATGAGTCAGCGCTTGGCATATGAGCCAGCCACCTTTACAAAAGAGCCTTTCTGCCAAACCATTACATGAGTGGTGGGCATCATTCTTAATATGTTGCATTACTGCTCTGCAAAGCCAGGAGCCACTTCTGTAGGAGCGTCACATGTTGCAAGCACTGTGTGTTCTAACCCGGGCGTGCGGTGGAACTGATGGCAGCTTCTTTCAAAGGAGGCTTATATAACTCGTTGACGTAGCTGCAATTAGCAAGATGGAGATGTGTTTTCATAACCGGAGGTTAGACCTTTGTCTCTGGCATCAAGCAGGCACAAAACCGAATAGCTAAGGGAGCATCACGTCCCCTGTGGTTTCCAGCCCCAGTTGCTAATCTGATAATCAAGCCCCGTTCCAAATACTGGCAGTCAGTTTTAGCACGACAGTGTCAGAGTTGGAGAATTCCTTTTCTTGGAAGTTTGAAGAACTTGCTGTTTTTCTTTAAAAAAAGCATGCTTTTGGGTAATAGATGAAAGCCTTGTTGTTGTTAAAAAAGTCCAGGCACAGCTAAAATTATAAAAACGTTGACTGGTATTATGTAACATACAAGTTTTAACCAAAAACCTAAGTTTCTGTTAAATATCGACGCAGTATATATGCGGTTCATAATATTGCCATATTATTCATATTAACCTTAATGTGTTAGTGAACCTGGTGGTTCGGTGGCTTTCGTTTTCTGCTGATTGTTGACTGCTCTTGTATGTTTTGATCGCCAAGTGAATGAGCATTGCTGTTTTGAGGAGAAAATAGGGCTGCAAATCTACAACTCTTGCAAGTTGCTCAGCAAAAGGCAATTCCTAATTTTTGATAGCTTTCATTTTTTTAAAAAAAAAATTACACTTGTGTAAATGGCAGCTGTTGAAATGGCAAGAAATGGCAGTTTTTGCTTTTAAGTCTCCGAATAGTTTTCACGATCTCTTTCCTTGTCCAGAAGAAGCATGAAATGAAGTTTTATTACACTCTTCCTGGCTGCTGCACACTCATCCATGTCACTGCCTCGGATAGTCAGCTTGTTGAAGACATTTCCCCACGTCTCCTTATGATTAGTAATGTACACAAGTGGGGCAAGAAAGCAGAGGGAGGGTGATGTACTTTTGAAAAACAGGGAGATCCTGAAACCGATGCTCCAATACTGTACATTTTCATTTGGCTCTGTTTGGTAGCAGAGGAGCTCTTTGCTGTCTTATTGAAGCAGTTCATTAGTAGTAGTAGTAGTTATTGTTGTGTGCCATCAAGTTGCTTCCGACGTATGGTAGGCCTATGAATGAGTGATCCCAAAAATATCCTGACTTCAACAGCCCTGCTCAGCTCATATAGACCCATGCTTGCGGCTTCCTTTAGGACAGTGGTCCCCAATCTTTTTCGAACTGTGGACCAATTGGGGGTGGATGGGGTCTGTGTGTAAGGGGGAAACCCCCCCCCCCGCATGGAGGTGAGCAGGGCATGCATGGGTTGTGCTTGTGGATGGTGGATGGGCGAGGTGCACTCGTGTGCATGCGTAGGTGGGTGGAGCACTCTCACGGGTGGGTGGGGCACACTCGTGCACGTGCACTGGTGGGCGGAGGCATCCGTGCATGTGGTTGGGTGTGCAAGGAGGGCGTGAGATCTGTCTTCGTGGCCCAGTCCTGCGAAGGCCACGGCCCAATACCGGGCTGCGGACCGAGGGTTGGGATCCCTTGCTTTAGGGAGTCACTCCATCTTGTATTTGGTCTTCCTCTTTTCCTGCTGCCATCCACCTTTCCCAGCATTATTGTCTACCTTCTCATGACGTGCCCAAACCTGGACGGTCTAGTTTAGTTTACTTAGAGAGAGAATTCTATATCATTGCTGCAGTTTTCAAAGAGGTAGCCGTGTTAGTCTGTTTCAGCATCTATAACAAAAATAAAAGCTCTTGAGTAAGTGGATTGTAATCTACCAAAGTTCATGCTGCAATATTATTTTGGATAGGCGATAGGGAGCACACGTAGGTCTGTGGCCATCCAAGAGTTCAGTTTACGATAGCGGTGGGGATCTATTCCCTGTAAGTGCTTGTGGGTCTTCTTTCTGCTAGCTTCCATTAGATTAATTCCTCTTTTTTTTGCGATCGGCGCAGCCTCTCTGGACTGTTTTGTCTGAGGCCCAGTAGGATGTGTTGCATGTGCCAAATCTCTGTGTTTTTTCCTTGGTTGTCAATTGGGCCATTGTGGTAAATGTGGGTTTTGTGAGCTGTGAGAACTTAGGCACACAAAAGGACGCACTCTTTGCAAGGAACATAGGCTGCCCTGTGCACAGAAAGGAAGGGTAATTACAGCGAATGACCCAAGGTAACCTTTGGGGGCTGGGCGGGATGCCACTGGCAGCCACCAGTGCAGAGCAGGCAGAGGTTAGCATCTCCCTCTCTTCTCTTCCTCACTGAAATCCACATTTTTTCCTGCATCATATGGTGAGCTAGCTGGATGCCCCTGAACTGGAATGCTAATATTCTTCAGTGACTATTCCTGGGATTCTTTGGGTTTTACTCTTTCTCCTCCCACCACAAAGTTCTGTGATGCCTAGCCTGCTTAAGAGTGCCGGATAACTTTTCAGTGATATTTTGTGGCTCACAAAAGTCATTGCACAGCTCTAATTTTTGGACTGAGTATACCTGACACTAGAAGGGATGTGGTGCTGCAGGTTACACTGCAGAAGCCTCTGTGCTGCAAGGTTAGAAGACCAGCTGTCGTAAGATCGAATCCATGCAACGGAGTGAGCTCCCGTCGCTTGTCCCACCTCCTGTCCACCTAGCTGTTTGAAAGCATATAAATGCGAGTCGATAAATAGGTACCACCTCGGTGGGAAGGCCATGGCGTTCCATGTCTAGTCGCACTGGCCACGCGACCATGGAAACTGTCTATGGACAAAGGCTGGCTCTACGGCTTGGAAACGGGGATGAGCACCGCGCCCTAGAGTCGGGCACAACTGGACTAAATGTCAAGGGGAACCCTTTACCTATACCTATACCTGACACCCACCTTTCCCTTTCTGCTGGTTGCTGGGGCAGATCATTCCAGGAAGGCAAATGGGTTTTTAAGCAGTTTGTCCACCCTTTGGATTTCTCCAGGGCCTGGGTCAAAGATCATCGGGGCCTGAAAGGTGATCTCCTTTTTGTTTACATAATCCAAGCCCTATAAATGTGCAAAACCTTAGGGCCAAAGAGCAACTAGCCCCTGTTACGGGAATAAGCTAGGGAATTCTTTTGCTTGATGCCTTCACCTGTTTTGGGTCAGGATGCTTTTGCTAGTGAGATAAGCAGGTCCCTTGTAGTGTGTTTAATGTTCTAATCATTCAATATTTGACATGGTGAGTTGCATCTGAAGATGGCTAACAGGCAGGGAAAGCTTAGAGCAATATTAAAAGGAGACTGCATGAGAAATCTGTTTGAATTATGTTTCCTCCAGCCACCGCAATCAATTCCTCCTTTTTGTGGTCCTTCAAGGCAGTCTCTGTGCTATGATCCTACTCTGCCCCTTCACACTTTGTGTGTTAACCCATTGCTTGCTGGCTGTAAAGATGGGCGATATCCAGCTTTAAGGGAGTGGTGCACTCAAGGGCTTTAAAAAGCTCCGCTGTGGTTTTTCCATTACTTCTATGTCACTGTTGTTTTAGTGCCTGCAGTGATTGTGAAATCATTTGCCTGGGAAGCACCTAGAGACTGGCCTTCACCTCTCCTGCTGGTGGAGAACTCCCTGTGGCCACTTTCTGTATTGTTTAGCTGCTTTCCCACAGTGATTTCCCCCTTGCTTAACTGCTCCCTTCCGCCTTTCTCTTGATGCCTTCCCTATTTTATTTATTTATTTAAAATCTTTTTATCCCACCATTCTCCTCGAAAAGACCCTTTGCAAGAGCTGCCCAGGAAGCACAAGTACCCAGCTTGCTGGGGGGGGCAATGTGTAACCTGTATAATTAAAATTGTAAACCGCCCGGAGAGTGCTTGTAGCGCTATGGGGCGGTATATAAGTCCAATCAATCAATCAATCAATCAATCAATCAATCAATCAATCAATCAATCAATCAATCAATCAATCAATCAATAAGAACTGTGTGTCGGCTGAGTTTTGTTGAGTATCACCGCCTGGTCGTCCCTGATGTTGCTGAGTGGTGACACCGGGTTTGAACAAGCCGTTCTAATTATTTTATGGCAGAGATTTAAAAACATGTTCAGGGTGTTGGCTGATTTGGAACTTGCAAATTGGTCTTGCTTTTTTGATACATGGCTGGTACTCAGAAGATTTGTCACAGTCTGTGCACTAATCTATCCAGCTTGATCCCTAGAGTGGTCATAACGTGTTTTCTCGAAAATAAGACAGGGTCTTATATTAATTTTTGCTCCAAAAATGCATTAGGGCTTTACTGTATTTTCAGGGGATGTTTTATTTTATAGTCATGTTATCTTCTTCTGGTTGCTGCACAATGCTGGACTGCGGGGTTTCACTTAACTGGGGCTTATTTTTGGGGTAGGGCTTATATGACGAGCATCCTGAAAAATCATACTAGGGCTCATTTTCAAGTTAGGTCTTATTTTCAGGGAAACAGGGTAAACATTCCCATGAACACGGAGATGTACTTAGGTGTAGCCATCTCCTCATTTTATCTGATTGCACAGCACATTTCTGTTCTTCTCCCCACGTTTTGGGCCTTTTGGGAAGAGGTGGTCCACATGTGAGCTTCCAGATGTTGCTGGCCTACAAGTCCCATCAACAACCAGAATAGTTAGTAGTGAGTCCAATAACATCCAGAGACCCAGAGGTTGGTGGCTTGCGGTTTTGGTTTGAAAATATCTCAAACAGACCTGGCATAGACATCTGCCATGAATTTTGGGGCATTTTAGTTGCATGTTGTTGTTTTTTGGCACTATCCATAAATGTTGGTACATAAGCATGAAGAAGTAGAATTTTACTCATGAAAGCTTGCCATTTGTTCCATTTTTAGTGGTCTAATAAAGCTATCGCTTGCATTTTCTCAGGGCGTCCTCTGCACAAGTATGGAAGTCTTATGTGCGGTCAAAGTTCTTAGACACTTAAGAGTCACAATCCACCATGAGCTTTTTGTCCATATTCCATTAGAATTGGTTTCAAGACTATGGACAAAATCCTGTTGTGTAAATTGATGCTGGTGGAAGCTGATGGCATCATTAGGTGGTGTTGATAAAATTTAATATAAACTAAATAAAAGCTTCCTATCCCTCCCTCTGCCCAGTTTTAGATTCTGAGGTTCTCTCTTGCCCTGGGGAAGCCTTTGGGAGCTTTTAATAATTAAAATAAAATCCACCAGATAGCTGCCGCTGGGATCAGGAGTGCCTTGCCCTGGGGAAGCCTTTGGGAGCCTTTAATAATTAAAAAATTCCACCAGATAGCTGCTGATGGGATTAGGAGTGCAGGTGGCAATTTTTGGCTATTAAAGGCTTCCCCAGGGCAGGAGAGAGCCCTGTGGCGCCTTGGAACCTAACAAGGTGGATAGGAAGCTTTTGATTAATTTGTATTAAATTTTACCAATGCCACCTAATGATATCATCAGCTTCCACCAGCGTAAATGTACACAAACTGCCGTTGGTCAGTGGCGCCCTAAATTTGACTAGCAGATTCTGGTGGTCGATGGTCATATTCCAAAAGAGGTAAGTTTTCAATTTCTGAAAGTGTTTGATAGCCACAAGTAAACATTGTGACATTTGCTTCTTCTTTTTTTTTAAAGCCATTTTGTTTGCGAACTAACATCCATTTCTACAATTTTGACTAGAAACGGTTTATTTGTTTGGCGGCTGGGACGGGACGCAGGATCTGGCAGACTTCTGGGCGTACAGCGTGAAGGAAAACCAGTGGACGTGTATATCGAGAGATACTGAGAAAGAGGCAAGTTCCCAGTATTTCCTTATTTGTATGTTGTGCTGCTATTTGCTAAGATAACACAATTCTCACCCATGATGGCTATGGCTCAGCCCTGAACCTGGAGTGATGTCAGGAGTAAGCATTTTATTCCCTCCCCATTTTAAGTGAATGTAAAAGCCATGACCTTTCTAGTTCTCAAATGCCTTTCATAACAGCCGATGGGAATGTTGGCTCTTCTCTGGCCGAGAAATAAACAAAGATGCTTTGGCAGGACAGAATGAAAAAAAAAAAGAAAGAAAGATGTTTAATGAAGGTTTTGGAGCTGATTGGAGACAGTCCAGAAAGGTGCTGCTGAATGCCTCCAAAAGTCATGCCGGGGAGCACGTAACGAAATAAACCTTTTGGGGATAAGAAAGTATTTGGGAGTTTGAGAACAAAAAGATTTAAATGGGCTTTGATCTAGTTAGTCCTAGCAGTCTCCCCAACCTGGTCCTCTGGGCTGGTCTAGTATCACATGGTGGCAAAGTTGTAATGAAAGGTGAATCATTGTTGGCTTCCCTCCCCTTTGTCATGCTGTCTCATTATGGCTTTACTCATGCGGTCTCACCTTCTCCCGTCTGTAGTGTGTAGTAGGCATCCTTCAGTCTCGAGAGACTAGGGTAACATGCTCTGTATGGAGGTCTTGGAACAGCGTCTAGTGTGGCTGAGAAGGCCAATTTGAGAGTGACCATCCCTTCCACACTGAAGACAAATACAATCTGTCCCCTGTCCAAAACCCCTGATTTTGCTGCTTTCGGGACTGCATCTTAGCCTCGGCCTCTTAGACAAGGGTATTCTACTACATCTGTAGTAGAATAATGCAAACCCAGCTTATACGATATTTGTAAGCTCCACAATAAGACAAGTGTACACACATGTGTACGCCCACACACAATTCATAGTTGGATATGTGAGTGTGTGTGTATGTCATTTTCTGGGAGCAGAGTCAAGGAGGTGGGTTTCAGTTTGCAAAAAAAATGACCGGACTCCTGACTTGAATAGTTCTTCCGCTTCTGGGTCAGAGACTTTGAACTTCTGGTCTGTTGCAATAAAGCAAAACAACGCAAACCCGAGGCAGACTGCTTAAGGTCACAGCCAGAACTGGATAAATACGCTCAACAGGGGAGATGCTTTCAGTGTTTCTGTAGGAGGAAGGGCAGCATGTTCGTAAACAAGCCACTAAAAGGAACAATCTGTTACGCAGAGTTGCTGAGAATATCAAATGGATTCTAAGAAGGAGTGGAAAAAAAAGTTTTGCTTTTGCTTCATGGCATGTTTGTACAATTCCTAAGCCCAAGCGGTATGTGAGATTTGGACTGAAGTGCTGAGCAGGTTACCCGTGAGTAAGCCCCAGTAAACAGAGTGAGGCTAACTTCTTAGTAAACATCATGATATTGGGCTGTTAACTGACCACTTAAAGAATTATAAACCTGGGCCTCTTTCGGTAAGAAATGGCAAGTTTTTAACAAACGAACTAGAATAAACTATTTTGTTTCTGTTCCATGAAGAAACATGCTTTAATGGCATTTGGATCGCCATCCAATGGAGCGAATGGCCTTGGGAGTCCCCAGAGCTATAGAATTCAACAAAATATGATCAAGCAAAAAAAGGGAAGAAAAAATCTTATAATGATTAAAATAAGGAATACCAACAGAAGTAACTTTTGGATTATAGTGCTTTCTGTGAGATTCTTTTAGTTGTCCAGCACAGTACATTTTACAAGTTCTGAAAGCCAGACTTGGATCCACTGCCCCTGATTTGGCTTTGTGACCCTAAGGCAGTGGGAGCAATAAACCTGGGCTTCCCAAGGTCTAGATGAGCCTGTTTGGGGGTACAAGACCATAGCTACGAAGAAACTGCAAATACTTTGGGTTGCTCATACACACAGACATACATCTCTGTAAATTGTGCCAAGATCAGAGGCAACATTTCAGAGCAGTGAACTAGCCGTCCAGGTTCCCATATGGGTGGAGAAGAAGAAAGCAAACACACTTACGCAGAGGCTAGAAGTCTTCCATGGTGTGCTGTTTCAAGAATTTAGTATCCCAGACAGCCTTATTTCCAGTGCACAGACAAGACAGCGTATGGCAGCTGGAGGGAGGGGCAGGTAGCACAGAATAATGAAGAACAGGAGCTAGTGCTGATAAGCTTTACATACACACATCAAAATACGTGTGGGTGAGTGACTCGTACACTCTGCAGACCAGAAGAGGGGAAGAGCCTCCTGGGGCAGGAGACAAGGTTTAAGGAGCTAGTATCGCTCAACTGTAATTAATATATACCGTATTTTTCTGTGTATAAGACTATACTTTTGTATAAAATCTTTAGACTAAAAATTGAGGGTCGTCTTATACACGGAAGTAAGCTGGGGAGAGAACAAAAATAAGTGGAGGGGAAAGCAGGGATCAAAGCGATCCTGCAGTGCTTTGATCCCTTTCCCCCTACACTTGCTAAGCCCCACTTATTTTTCTTAATATTTTATTAGATGGGGGTGTCTTATATACAGAAAAATACAGTATTTATGCTGTGTCTGCTATGAAAACAAATAGGCAGGAAATGTGAAGAGCTTTAAATAAAAGGAACATAAAGAGGCTGAAAGGCATTATTCTGCCTCCCCCCCTTTTCAAAACAAAGGAGGGAAACTGGTCCGAAGTTAAATGTTGGCTGTAGCTAAATTATGCTTGCTGGCTGGGATAGCTCAGTGAGTTAGGTATCTGGGCGCAGAGCCAGAAGTTGGGAGTTTGATTCCCCCGCTGTGCCTCCTGAGAAATAGAGCCAGCCTGGTTGGCCTTGGGCCAGCTTCACACAGTCCCAGGATGCCCTCAGAAGAAGCGAACAGTGAACCGCTTCTGACTACACTCTTATCTTGAAAATCCAGGCAAGGGTCTGCATAAGTGAGAATTGACTGAATGGCACAGAAATATTGTTATAAATGATGATTAGGATCTGTGTTTCCCCCAGCTCCAGTGACAAGGAGAAAAGGGGCAACGCCTACTGGTGTCATGGAGTTTGGCTACCCCGTCCCTGCTCTTCTGCCCTGATCCTGCTTTGGTAGAGATGGTCTAGCTTCCCAGCATCTTCACAAAAAATTGGGGGTTGGAGATCTGGACAGAGCAGGAGACACGTGTGATTGTGTGCGTCCGCCTGGAGTTTATGCCAGTGCTGATGTCTCAAAAAGGGCAGTTGTATCCATAGAGTCGGCCAGTGTTTTAATGAGCAAAATGAGAGAGTGGTATCCTGGACACTATTGACTTTGACATGTGAAATCTAAATTCAGTCTCTGTGCAGCCCAGCCCATTGGAGACAGCTTCCGGCTCTTGGTGGAGGCATGGCGTACTGGCCTATTTCCTGATGCCTCATTGGAAGGTTGGCCTTGGCTGAATGTATAAACCAGTGATTCCTGATGTGACATCAAGTGATACCATTCTGCAGTAATTTGATCAGAATATCATGTCTCCCGCTGTCAGGATTGGGGTGTATTTGTATACGAATATCCCCACACAGCTGGACCGAACGAGGGGCCGGACCGTCCACTCACATGTCCGGCAGCGGCCCCGCTCATCCCTTCCCATTGTGCCCCAGAGCACTGCGCTCTTCCTGCTTGGCTAGCCACTCCAGGCGAGGGGAGGGAGGGCGAGTCTCCCTGCACGGCTACTGGGTGGCCAACCAAGCAGGAAGAGAGTGGCACTCAGGGCTTGATTGGAAGGATGATTGGGGCTATCAGGGCCACAACACATGGGAGGGGAGGGGCTGGCCCCAGGGGCCGGCCCCTCATTAAGTTCAGCTGCACATAGATATTTGTATTCGTAAAAGAATATGAACGCCCCATTTATTTATTGGACTTATATACCGCCCCATAGCGCTACAAGCACTCTCCGGGCGGTTTACAATTTTAATTATAAAGGCTACACATTGCCCCCCCCAGCAAGCTGGGTACTCATTTTACCGACCTCGGAAGGATGGAAGGCTGAGTCAACCTTGAGCCGGCTACCTGGGATTTGAACCCCAGGTCGTGAGCACAGTTTTAGCTATAGTACAGCGTTTTAACCACTGCGCCACGAGGCTCATATGAACGCCCCCATCTCTAGTTATGACCAAAAGGACAGTGTGTTTTGAGCAAGTTGGAAGCTCATGTTTTCTGTTTGGTCAGAGTACAGTTATAGCTTGGCTTATTTTCCTTCAGATCAACATTAGGCAGAAATGCCAAACAAGACTACATATGTGTGTGTGAGATTGTGTGTGTGTGTCTTATGCCAAGTTCTCCTGCAGCGTTTCTTGCATCTGCCACCTTTGTCAGAACTGACTGAAGTGGGTAGAAAGAAGCATATGGCTCCACGGTTCCTGGAGCTGTATCGTGTCCAAATACCAATGTAGAAGAATTGCATACCCTGTTTCCCCTAAAATAAGACCTAACCTGAAAATAAGCCCTAGTATGATTTTTCAGGATGCACGTCGTATAACCCTCCCTCCAAAATAAGCCCCAGTTAAACCCTGCCCTCCACCCTTGTGCAGCCACCAGAAGATGATGACATGACTGTATTTGAGTAAACGTAGATTGTTGTACATGAACAAAAATCCCCTGAAAATAAGCCCTACTGCGTTTTTTGGAGCAAAAATTAATATAAGATCCTGTCTTATTTTCGGGGAAACAGGGTATTTCACTACTCACTTTAAATAAACCCAGCAGCATATTAGCATACAGAGAAGAATGCTGGTCTAGAACCCATTCGGACTCACAGTTGGTGCAATCCAACTTTATTTCTCTTTGCCGTTGTTAGGTGTTGCTGAAGGTGAGGTGTCTTTATTCTTGGTTGCATTGCGCCCAGAGAGCAAGAAAGTGAGAGGATGGCCAGTGTGAAAAGGATAGCATTTGCTCTGTGGCATTAGTTTATGCTCCAGATGCGAATGTTTGTTTTTCCAAGGACACAGAGCAAAAGCTGATGTCAGAAGAGCCTGCTGGTAATGTCTGTCTTGGCTGAGGTCCC